AGTCTCTGACAACCTGCAAGGCTCAACACCTGCCAGGGTCTTCCTCCTTCAGGACGCAGACCCCCAGAACTGGGTGACTGTAGATTTAGGGCAAGAGGAGGGATGAATCCAAGGTGACTATGTCCTGTCCTATGGAGGAGCTGGGCAGAAGGTGGTGGTGCCCGCAGGAGACAGGAAACAGCTGGGTAAGAACAGGTTTCTGCCTGGGGCGGGCGGGGCGGGGGGGGGCACAGGGATTGGAGACTGGCCAGTGTGGGCACTTGGGATCTGAGAGACGGCCTAGACAGGATCCTCATTGGGGCATATGGAGGACCAGCCGGGTGGACATCACAAGTCAGAGTCACCCACAAGGAGAATGGGCTGGGCAGAACCTGAGGACCATGAAGAGGACTCTCCAAAAGAGATTGGAGACTCCGCAGGAGATAAACCACAAGAGCAGAGGGAGGATCAAGTCAAAAGAGAAAAAATTTCAAGGGGCTGTTGCTCAGCTTGACAGATGCACCTGATGGTCATGGCTGATGGCTCCTAAGGGCTACTTGCTGGCCCAGTGATAGGGAAGAATACTCTGAGCAGAGGGAAGAGCCAGTGCGAATACCTTGCAGTAGGTGTGTGTCCTGGAGTGTTTGAGAGTACAGACCAGCATGAGCGAGGAGGGGGCAGACGAGGTCAGAGAAAAAGGGAACCAGGTCACAGAGAGCCTCAGAGACCACTGGCTTTTCCTAAAGTGAGAAGAGATGGTGGCTCAGACTAGGGTGGCAGCCGTGCAGATGGTGAGAAGTGTCGGCTTCTGGGTCTGCGTAGAAGCTATAGTCAAACAGGATTTGCTGTCTTCCATTTGGGCATTTGGGGTTTGAGGTCTGAGAATGTCTCTGGGGCATCCTCAGTGGGACATGTGGAGGAATGGCTGCGACTTGACATTGCAATTTGGAATCACCCACGGGGAGAGTGAGAAGGGTGGTGGAGGAAGAGCAGGCTGGGGTCCTGGACCCCAAGGCTTCTGGCCTGAGCAGCTGGAAGGATGGAGCTGCTCTTCACTGGAGAAGCGGGTGTGGGAAGAAGAAGCAGGAATCTGGGTTTTGAGATGCCTATTAGACATTTGAATGGCATGGGCCCTGCCTCAGGAAGTCACAGACAGTAAACAAAGTCTCATAAGGTGACTCCACGTATTGTGGCAAATCCTAGAAGCAGGGTGACCTGCTCAGAGGCTCCTGGACTAGGCCAGCCTGGAGGCAATGGTGGCTTGGGGAGGGGGTACTGAGCCTGGTGGATTTTTATGGGTTTACCAGGCATGTGGCACCAAGGAGGGTGTGGCTGGAGGATTGGAGTTTCTGCTGGGGAGGAACGAGGTAGGAGGAGCAGGGGACAGAAAGGGGTCAAGGATGGGCTAATCCATGTTTTGTAAGTCCATAGAAACTTGTGGGAGATTCTGATACCAGAGCAGAATTGAGGCCAATCCTGGAGGCCCATCCACCCTGCCTGGGAAACAGAAGCAGCCCCAGTTGGGGTCCTTGGAGATGTGATCCACGCTGCCTCTGTGTCTCCCTGGAGTTGGTGATCACCCTGCCCTGCAGAGGATGCAATCGGGGCTCATTCCAGGAGACAGTATCCCACCCCCACCCAAAGTGAAATCCAGTTGGTCTTTCCCGTTTCTCCCCCTTCCCCTGAATAGAGCTGCAGTCCCCTACCCCTTCTCTTTCCTTAGAGTTGCTGACCCTCCCAGGCTCTCTAAACAGCCCTGGAGGTCCAGGTCAAAGGTCTCCCTGTCCCGCTGATTCGGGCCTCCCTGGAGACTGTGACACGGCTTCTTAATATGCAGCCCCAACCCTTCAAACAGAACACAACCTAATTCTGAGTGTAACTTGCTTGTCTTTCCCACCCCACCCCCATACCAACTCAGGCTCCTTCTCTACTTGGTGCACAAGGGGGTGCATTACGAGAAGCCTCCTGAAGCCAGAACGTCCAGAAAAAGCATATTCTACCTGCACATGGCCCTGGATCAATTTGGGCAGGAGAGGTAGCTGGCAGCCTCCCCTAGGCCATGACCCCGCAAACCGGAATCCGTCTGTAACCTGCCTCCCCTCTCTCCCCGCCCAGGAGAAGCCAGCTCCTCCCGGCCCGCCCGGAGCCCGCGATGCCCGCCCCGCAGTGCGCCTCCTGCCACGCGGCGCGCGCTGCCCTCCGC